CCGTCTCTCTCTCTAACCTCCGCATATTTCCCCGCTATCCCTGTCTCTTCTCTTTTGGCGCTATCATATATACTCGACCGGTAGGTTCGGCGCACCGCCCGCATCCAGCGGAAGTACTTCAAGACTATGCGGTTCCACCCCATCATTCTGCGACTCAGCTACGCGAGGACCCCCGCGTCCAATGTGGGTTCAACTGCACCGGTTATTTTTTTTTCTTGCTAAGGCTGTGTCCAATCCACCACACTCCTAGTTGTACTCTAGTGTTTTGTGAAGTGTCAAGGGTGGCGACGAACAAACAAGCTTCACTTTCCTGTTGGAGCCCTCGATTCGGAACATTTTACAACCTGCTTTCTGTTCCGAAACTGAAAGTCTTCCCCGAGCAGCAGGTTTGTACTCCCCGCCTACAGAATCCACCCGAGCGAGGTTCTCAACTCGAGCACTTTTTCCCATCTGTTCCAAGTAAAAGTGGCAGCTATTTCGCGACAGATGAGCTGGCTTTCCATGACGGGTTGGACTTGGGGTGTTTATTCTACCCCACAACCCATCACGCGGGAGAGATCCCAATACATTACTAGCGGTAGTCTCGCGATCCAGCCAGGTACTAAACTACCCAACATGTCGTCGGCATGCTCGCATATCTTTTTTACCTCTTCTCCCCCGTGTCGCAGGCGCTCATGGAGGAAGCCGGGATGGCCATCATCAACAAGATCCCGAGCATGGTTAAGAGCAACGTGGACCTGGCGTCCTACCTGGTGGAGGATGCCTTCGGCTCCGTCAGGGACATCTCCAAGAACGTCGTTTCGCACTACACGGTGGCAGGCAGCATGCAGGTAAATCATCTACCGCAATACCATCATTGCTCTTTCGCTATTGGGTTGTCCCCCCCCCCCGTCATCACGAACCCATTGTCTTCGTGGCGGGGCTATTAGGTCTGGTACTTTGTAGTTGGTTCTTGGCTTGCTGATTGAGGTTTGGGATACTCCACTGATGAGGAGCTGTTTTGCCCGACACTGCTGCCGTGGAGTGTTATTTCGCCGCTCGTACTTCAGAATCCAGCCTCTGCAATGACTGGTTGTATTGAGAGTATTGAAGTGTTATATCCCCCCACCCAAGCCATGACGCCGGCATGAAGAGGATGCGAAGACATGCCTATGCGGCAAGGCAGATATGTGATTTGACTTGACATCGTTGCAGAATGTGATTTTCATGTATACAATAAACGAGAGGGAAGACCTAGATGAAGAGATGGCGAAAACGTATGGATTGACAAGTGCGAAGTTTGGACCACAGCAGTGCACAAAAAATCTCTATGCTAGGAAATAGTTGGTCACAAGGTGCCAAACAACAGTCCCTATTTTAATGTGGAAGACACATGGTCTAGAGAGGGCCCGACTGGTGGAGGTGCCTCTTGTAGGAATAGGAACTGACTCCATGTCGATCGAGATTCGTTAACAATGGTCACATGACCGGTCAAATGACGAAGGCAAGCCACAAATGAGCACCCCACCCCCAGCCACACTTGAAGACATGTCCGTACACACCGTGCTATTCAATCCCCCCCGCCCGTGTGTGTATACTACTTCAACGGGACTTGCACCTGTGGAACCGGCGCTTCAAAACTGTGAAACTGCAATACGTAGGTGCTCAGCCTCGTGGGGTCCATGCGCGCCTTGGGCAGTCCGGCGGACCTGATCAGCAACATCGGGGGCGGAGCTAAGGCTCTCGTGTACGCGCCGGCGCAGGGTCTGGTGCAAGGGCCGGCCGAATTCTTCGAGGGGGTTGGTCGCGGCGCCCAGAGTTTTGTCAAAGGTGATTCGGGGCCGTCTGGTTGTTGCCGTTGTTGTTGTCATTCTTACATTTTTTTCGTGTGGCAGCCTAACCTATGGTCGTCCGCCCCTACCCGTCACCCCCACCCGCTATTTTTAGGCACCGTACACGGGGTTTTCAACTCCGTTGCAGGCGTCGGCGGAGCTGTAACCGACACCGTGTCCAAGCTCACCTTCGACGACGAGTACCAACTCAAGCGCGAGAGAGACAAGAACAAAGCTCTGGCCAACCAGGGCGGCCTCGGGCAAGGGCTTGTCCAGGTATATTGTCGGCGGTGTTCTGCTCTAGTGGAGAGGTTTCGTGTGTCGAATTTTTCTACGCCCAAGCCAACAACATGACCCGTTCCTCAGCAGAGAGTTTCTCCGGCGCAAATAACGCCAGTCGGAGGCTTGATACTGAACGTAGTGTTGCCTTCCACCAGATGCTGTGCTTCCTTTCTTCGCGATTTTTTAGTACGGAGGCAAGCACATCGCCCCGAGGCGACGGAGGGAGGCGGAGTTGGATGGAGGTGATGAAACCCGCCTCGGATGCACGAGTTCAAAGCAGTCTTATCTGTCATTGAACGCTCAACTTCGGATCGGTCGGCCGGTTCAATGTCCACTGCCAATTTACCTTCGTTTCTTGTCAACAGCTCGTTCATGACCGCTGAGCTAGTCGACGTCACTTTGTTTTCGCTGTATCGTTTGCTGCCGCTTCGCTAAAGGGGGGCAAGAATATCGCGGGGGGGTTCACTTCGGGAGTGTCTGGAGTCTTCACGGATCCCGTGCGTGGCGCCAAGAAGGGCGGCATGGGCGGATTTTTGAAGGGCGTGGGGAAGGGCCTGGTTGGTGCCGTGGTGAAGCCCGTCGTGGGGGTGACCGACTCGGTCATCTCGGTCGCGCAGGTGTGTTGCTGTTGCTGTTGCTGTTGCTGTTGCTGTTGCTGTTGCTGTTGATGTTGTTGTTGATATTCTTTTGTTGGTGGTGCTGGTGCTATTGCTCTTGATAGAGTCGATGATACCTATTTGTTTTTGTCGATTTTGGTGTCGTCTTTGTCGTTGTTGATGTTGATGATGATGATGTTCTTGTTCTTGTTGGTGGAGTATTTGGTGCTATTGCTGTTGTCAATGTTGGTGTCCTGTCGCGTCGCAGTCGTCGATGATGCTACTACTATTTCATGACGCGGGTAGCCGGTAGTCCGTGTGTACGTTTGTTGTGATCGCTTATTTCCTCCGCCTAACCCCTCTGTATTCCGTCTCGCTTCTTCCACTGCCCTTGCGGTACCCCCTCCCCCCGCCCGCTCGGGGGGGAAATAGGGCATCTCTAACGAAGCGGAGAACAGTCATCGGCAGGCCCACCTTCGTCCCCGCCGGGCCTTGACCAAAGACTCGGAAACGGGTCAGCTGGTTCTCATGGAGTTCTCCATGGAAGCTGCCGAGGCACAGGTGGGCGTTATTTTGTTGTAGCTGGTGATGGTGTTATCGCCGCCGCCGCCGCCGCCGTTGTCGTAATCGTCGTTCTTGTTTGCGCTGGCCTCCTTGTGAAGGCCCTTGTTGCATACTTTGTGTTGGAAAAATGTTAATGTTCGTTCAGAACACGCGCCTCGAGCGGTTTGCTGGTTTCACGTAGCACGTTTTTGCCAGCTTCGCTCAGTGTTGCCTGTGTTCTATGATTTGTTCATGTCGTGTGATTTGGTTGGCTCTTGACTTTTGTCATGTGTGCGCCTGGGCCTTCATTCGCGTGCATACACGTCCAATAGAAAGGGGCATCTCTGTGTAATGTGTGTCGAAGTCCTCATGTGTATGAAAGAGCCTGCTACGGCATGCATGGTACTCACCAGAAAGTTCGAACCACAAAGTGCATGCAGTGGTGTTACTCTGCATGGCCGAGCCAAACCCGCGACTTGCGTGCACCCGAAGCCCACGACCACCCTTCACGGCTGTGGCCAAAATTACAAAGTTACAACCCGAACAACGACGTGAAATGCAGGCGCTGGTCGAGAGCGGGGTGGAGGGCAAGGGAAGCAGCAGCCGAGACAAGTACGAGTCTCACGCGAGGGTTGGCGACCTCACTATCATCTTCGCGAACACCAGGGTGATCATGGTCAAGAGGGCCAAGGTGAGATTGTCGGGTCGGGACGGAGATATGTGCGTGTGGGTGTGTGTGTGGCTTTATTTCTCAACATCGACCGCGCTAGCCGGCTGATCAAGGAAAGACGGCAGTCCCAGTGCAGTTGAAAACAGAAAGGGCTACTATGAAGGCCATGATCTTTAGGTGGGTGTGTCTTTTGATTATGAGCATCGACCGCGCCAACCGACTGACCAATGAAAAGACACCTCCCTCAGTGGGGCTACGAACGGAAAACCCTTCTACAGGCCATCATCCCGGACCCCGTGCGTGCAAGTGCGGGTGTCTTTCAATGCCTCCCTCCCGTGGTTGTGTACTGGACCCACTCCCCGCAGTTGGCAGCCCCATACACTGCATGCACGTCTCTTTGCTTACATGAATAGATTTGCCGTTTTGTCTTTTCCTAGCCTGCCTGGGAAGAGGAGGAAGAGTACGGCCCGGTCGCGACGGGACGGATGCATGATTCGCTGCGCGTCGTGGCCCCTCTGAAATGACGTGTTTTCTGCCGTCGTTAATTGGTTTATTTATGAACCACTTTTTGTCCTTCCCCTGTGCTTTGATGCAACCTCTTTCTCAAACTCCTTCTCCCCCACCTTGACGCCCTTTCACTGACCAGAGTGACCACCTAGGCTCGGCGAAGATCGTGGACAAACCGGGCGCTGCCAAAGCCTCTCAGATGGTGCGTGAGAGAGAGAGAGAGAGAGAGAGAGAGAGAGAGAGAGAGAGAGAGAGAGAGAGAGAGAGAGAGAGAGAGAGAGATGAAACATGCGAACAATATGCAGTGCGGTACAAGTCAGTTCTTTTTTGTAGGAACGTCTATCGCTTAACGTGACGTGGGACAACAATAGGTCAGCTCCGACTCTGTCATGTTTGGGATGCTTCCGGAGGGTAACGCAATGTGAGGCGTCACGACAGGAGGCTTGAAGTCGCGGAGGATTTTGATCTCCGTCTTTTCGTCGTGCACGGCATCTTGACGACCCAAGTAGTATTTACCCGGCGCGAATTTTGGGACAACCGTCTCCTCGCGAGAGCTCTTCAACAACGTTTTGCGTCGTTTGACCTTCAACACCCACCCTTTGTGTTTCAAGTTACCGCAAGGAGCGCACGCCAGTATCAACCGAACGCCCGAAAAGGAGGTGACTTTTTTTTGTTTTCATAAACCGTTTCGGACTGTCCTGACAGCAGTGTGCGTGCCGTATCGGCGAGGTGCCATTCGTACGAAGAAGCGAACCCGACCGAATGTTCCCAAGACAGAGAGGGACCTGTGTCAAGTATTATTTCATCTTGAGGACCATTCCGATCTGCTGTGTGTTCTTCGCGTGGTTAGCAGGCCGACCAACTCTGCTTAGATGTCCTATTTCGTTCTTTTCAAATGTTTATTCTGCTTGCCAACTTATGGCTGCGTGTGCATCGCGTTGTGTGTGAATAAGCGTCGAACGAACTAAGCAACAAACGAATGACCGAACCTCGACAGGTGTCCAAGAGGTGGGAAGAAGTGGCATGCGTGGACGTCCAAGACGAGAGGATCGTCGTCAGGCGTTACGAAGGCGGGGACATCTCGCTCAAGGCCACCGTGCCCTCCAACAGGTGAGTGATCAGCTTTGCCCGAAGTGTTTCCACGTCTTGACAGAGAGTTGACTTGACGTCTCTCGTTATTTCGTTATTGCGCCATCAGTGGCAGAACTCTTTTTCCAATGCGTTTATGTTTGTTCTCGGTAACGTTTGTGGACCAGCTTGTGAACGCGCGGAGGTTCGTTCACCCATGCCCGGGATCGGGAGGGATGTGGGGGTGGTACTAAAGAGAGGTCAGGACGGATTTAGCGTGGAACCAAGTGCAGGAAATTCCAAAGGTTACATTGAAGCTGGCGTTTTCATGGGGTCTCGCTGACTCATGATACTGCCATAGTCAAAACACTCCAACGCTGAAAAGAAATGATTTGGGGGCTCTTGCGTCGCCCCTGGTAGTTGTTGTTATTCGTCGTTCTCAATCACGGCGATACATGCATAAACCTATTTACCCCTCGGTCGTCGTCAAACCGTTGTACGCGCATCCTCACGACCCGAAAAGGGAGGAGCTGTACCGGCAGTTCTACGTGCACCGCAACAAGATGGGCGACCCGACGGCCATGCGCACCCCCGAGGAAGTCTTCGGCACCGGCAGCGCTGGGAATTCCGAAACGGTCAGTCTGGTCTTGAGGGGCTTGGTTCGGGTGGAGCCGCGTAGGAGTCAAGGGTGGCTTAAGGCTCTCGGGGTATAGCCTGACATTGTTGTGATTGCTGTGTATTTGCGGTCTTGGGCAAAGAGTTCTGGCCCGGAATGTCTTTTGGTCCGAACATTTCTCGGCCTATTGCTACCGTTGTTCCGCAAGGGGGAAACGTATTTGGTTAGTGTCTGGGTCAGAGTATGGGTCATTGCCAGTGTTGAAAAGAAGCTGTACCGAAAGGTTGCCTGCATTCCCCAGAGACGCACGCAGGCTTCGGGACCCGTCGGGTGTGTTTTTTTCTTTTCTTTCGCTCGACGTTCGGTATTGCAAATCAAGTGTTTTTAACAGGATGTAAGGTGAACGAAGTTGTTTCGATGCAAGCAGAAAGCTCGCGAGCGCCTCTCGGACTCCCGCGTGAATGACACTGACAACGATCAAATACCGAACGGCAGGCGGCACCGGTGGTGATGAGCATGAGGGCTCACAGCACGGCCGTTCAGGACTCCCTGAACGACTACACATTCGGAACTGCCAACGACCGGAAGATCCCGGGACACAAGCTCAGCGACTCTCAGGTGGGCCAGCCGGCTAATGACCCACCCCTCAGGGTCAAGCAAAGGACACAAACAGCAGAACTTATCTTGCATGTGCCATTGATATAGCACGGAGTAAAGGCAAACCGAGGCGCTAATTAAAACGGTTCCGAAAAGGCGACCCGGGAGTTTTTTCTTCAAACGTTTCTCAAGAACAAGCAAAAACGAGGGTGTCCTGGGTGCTTGCTCCGTTTGTTGGAAAGAGGCGTTTGCTTTCGCCGTTCAAGACGCGGATCGATAAGAAAATTGGTCTTGCTTGTGTGAAGCCGATTCGAGCCGTTGGACTCAATATTTAATGGCGCCCGTCGTTTTGCGGCGTCTATCATACCGGAATGTGTTGACATCGTTGACGTGAGGCACTTCCGTGCAGTGTAGAGGGACCGCTGTTCTGGCTCGACAATGTGGATCGCATTTCAACACGTTTTACTCACGGTACATTAAGGCACGTTCGCGGTACGTCATTTGGCTTCCGCAGCTGTACGCGGCAGTCCTTCCGACCCTTGCGTGGGAACGAACCGCGGAAACACCAAATCGAACAGGCCTTCAAGATAATCAACGCGCTGATGATTTCCCTCCCAACGACTTGCGTGGTGGATGTCCCCGTGTGTGTAGATCCTTAATCGGGCAGAGCGGCAACTCCAGTCAGTTGGCGTCGGGAACTGGAACAACCTGGACGACATTGCCTGGGAACTCGTGCAAAACTGGTAAGAGTACGAAGGCAGTATCGTCGTATGCATAGTCGTCCGGATATCGCAGACAACTTGAATACCCCTACCCAGCGCCTCCATGTCTCCCCCGTATTCCTTTCTGCTCCCACCTGCGCCGATGGATTCCGCCGTCACGTGAGGTGGAGCAACAATAGGCTCACGGAAGAGATACTAGCTAACAAGCTTCTCGTCTCGTACCAGCGCCCCTTGTAGATAAGCCAGTCCGGTACGGTGAAGCGAACTACATACACTTGGTTTTTCCACCATGTATCGGCCCTCGGAGACAAGACGGTGCGACCCAAGGACTGCGGTACGGAATGACGTTCCTCGACTGAGAGACGAAAGCAAGCATACTTTCTTGTGCACTCGGCAGTGAAACTCTCCCACTTACCTTTGCAATCGATACATGCGCTCCTTGCATCATGATTTTCGCTCGCGTACTGTACATGCTCCGTCCGTCTGTCCGTTCTTGCGCAGGGATAACTCCCACAACGGGCTGTGTGCTACCCGCTGCCTGTGCGTGGTTTTCATCAACGCCTCCGCGTCTACCGTGCAGTTCCGCGAAATGAGGTGCAGCAGTCACCGCTTCCGTGGATCCGTGCCAGGGTGTTTTATACCCTTGTTTCAGTTCATCTCAAGCTTGGGTTTATTATGTAGAAGCGAGATCAGAAGTCCCCACCTGCAGCACTGTTCTCGTTCTCTGTTTCTTTTTTTTTGCTAACATTTTATGTACATGGGCTTCGTCGTTTGTTCGCCAGATTTCGCTGCGTTTTGGCACACCACCGTGGTTGCTGTTGTCCTCTGTTTCTGCCAATAATTACACGGTTCGTCAATTCACGCCACCCTCCTCGTACTCGTGCGTTGTTTCTGCCGAAACACGTTATCTTGCCAAGACTTGGTATCGTGGACGTGTGGAGCTCATCTTTCCGGGTGATGTATATATCAATTAGCACGTCTGGTTCGATTGTTTCTCCTCCTATGATAGAACTGTGAACAATAGGACGACGGGAGAAAAGACAGGAAATGAGTGCGTGAGGTGCTTGTCAACCACCGTGTTGACTCCCGTTCCTCTGCTCCTATTGTATTCTGACCCCAGACCTAGGATCACTCAAATGTTACTATTGATTGGATGCGCCGGACTGTGGTCCCGCCCATCCGTCGTTGATGGCAATCTACCTTTGTCGCCCGCACTCCAACCAAGAAGTTACCGCATTGCGCGGGACCGTAGGAGTCGCTACCAGGACGCATGGAGCAAGTTTGGGTGAGACCACAGACCTCCCCTTTGCGATGTTCTTCCATCGCCATCTTCAACTTCCAGACGAATCCTTTCCGCAGGGGGCTGGGATCGAAGTGTATCCTGGTGTTGCACATCCTTTAATGTCCTCAAGTATCATGACATTATCCTCCAGTCGGAACACTCACTGCGTACTCCTTCCTGCATGGTGCCTCGGGAGGTCGGAGACTCAACGGGAGGCGCGGCGCAGAAGCCTTGCACGCACAAATGGCCTAGTGGATCTTACCTCGGGCGCTCGCGGGTAGGCGGGTGGTGGAGGAGGCGCAAGCGCGGGGGCGTCGAGTGCGGAAAGGGAACGGCTAGTGGAGATGGCGAGGCGGACGTAGTTGACGACCGGTTCATGGATCTTCTCCAAGCGCCGCATTCGTCTAAAGCGCACCTCAGCCGAATATGGCGCTTTGTGAAGATCCTTGAGTCGGTCGCGAACGACGTCTGCCTCGGCATCTCCACTATCTAGCCGTTCCCTTTCCGCGCTCGACGCTCCCGTGCTTGCACCTCCTCCCACCACCCGCCTGCCCACGCGCGCCCGTGCCCCCGTCCGGTGTGAGATCCACAGAGACCATTTGCACGCGCAAGACTTCTCCCGCTTAGGCGGTTGACCCTCCTTGGGGCTGGCGCCCCGCCTCCCCTGAGTCTCCGACCTCCCGAGGCACCATGCGGGAGTACGCAGTGCTCCGACTGGAGGAGAATGTCATCATTTTTGAGGAGATCTAGGATATGCCACACCAGGGTCCGCTTCGCCTCTTTTTTTTTTTTTGTCTTCACTTCAAATCAGCGCTCACAGCACCAGTGCCGTGTACTCCAACCCGTGGTCACACAGAAGAGCCCCTCTCTATCCTCCCCTCCTGCGGTACTTTGCCTTCGATTTTTGATGCGAGAAGAGTTCAGCACTCTCTTCCTCTGTGTACACACGAACTAGCGCTATCCACTAGGCCAGAAGCGGAAGCGAGAGAAAACTCACTTTGCAAGAAAAGCTCGCTTACGCCGGGATTCGAACCCCTGACCTGACCTCTAGAAGGTTTCGAGGATACCAACTAGACCACCGGGGCGACCGGCACGCCTCTATAGCTCCCTGGAAGCCCTAGAGGTGCCGTACCAGCACGTGGTGTATCGTATCAGCCTTCTTCCCGGAGGCCTCCAGCACCGCAGGCCAAGAGTGCCTTGGGAGCGGGGCAGGTCCTCGATCTGGACAGGGTCTTCCGGGACTCGAACCAAAGGTGCTCGGTTCCCTATCGCTAACACTAGGGAATCAAGCATCGCTGGGTGGAGTCCAGGAAGATCCTTTCCAGATCAGGGACCTTCCCCGCGCCCAAGGCACCCGGAGCGAAGCAGGGCAGGGAGTCGATAGACGTCCCCGCGCCCACAAACACAGCCTAGAGTCCCGATTCGGATTGGGCGGCGGGGGCCGGCTCGCAGGCGGCGCAGAAGCCGCGGCGGGCGCTGCGGCGGGAACCCCGGCAGAAAGTTTCTGCGACGACCGAGTCCTGGACATACTCTCTAGATCATGGCGATCAACGCGACGACTCATTAGTTTTTCGCAGCGAAAGAAGGGAGTGATTGGCCTCTCTTGCGCATACAACCTCCAGGACATCCGATGAGAACCGTGGATCAATTACTTGTTCTACATTTGGATTCATCCGGTCTGATCAAAATTTTACTCGGGAACCAGGGGTGAGTTTACCCGGCGCCCGTTGTTAGACGTAGGATAGCGCAGGCCCTGTGATATACTGTGCGCCCCCTCTCGCCTTGCTCTTACACATGCCACCTCACTTTTTCTTCTCTGTCGCGAACTCAGACCGATCGGAACTGATTTAGTTAGCCTACAACGGCACGATGGTTTTGTTTTGGGTCCCCATGGTGACCACCGAGGTGAACGATCTACGCGCACGTACAGCCACTCGAATCACACCCTGAACACATCAATCCTAGCGTGAAAATTGTCGCACGCTGGGATTGCTCTTTCTTCTCTGACGATGCCGCAAGTCGGAACGAGCACAGGGAACGGCGTGGGCAAGCCCACTGCTTGGTGATCAGGCATTTCTTTGGTCTTAACACCTGCAATCTCCGATCACTTTGAAGCCGTTCGGGGGCGGACTGACTCACACCTCACGTACGAGACGTTTTCTCTTGCGTTGTTTACTGCTGTGCCAATCGAACCGAGCAGGAGGCGGGACGGGCAAGGCTTCCGTCTTCTGATGGGTCCCCTCTGCAACGCCGACTCCCAGCAGCTCATGCCGGGGGGTGTCGCCATTCTGTTCGCCTGGGGACACTCCTCCACCAACATCTTGAAGAAAGGTCGGTCACAGTGTTTGGCGTGTTTCGTGTGGCACCCTGAGGATTACTTTCGCACATGTATGAAACCAGAACCATGCTTCCAAGAGGTAGTCCAACGATGTACTCAACGGAGAGCGTTCGGGGGAAAAATTCGGTGCTCCTGCTGTTGCGCTTGGTCCGTCCTGGATGAATCCTACAAGCACGGCTGTCTAGTTGATTCCTTCACGGTGTCGCGGTGGCAGTTTTCGAAATCCCGGTGCGACGCCGTTCCGTTATTTTCACACGCTTTCGTTGTTGTCAAGGTAAACATCCAAGCCGGAAGCTGCGAGGTGTGTCTTCTCGTGTAATGTGTTTTTAGCTTCACGTTCCTTCTGCCGAGGTTTCCTAGCTCAAGCTCAACGGTAGCGGCTGTCGTGGCCTCATGATCACTAGCACAGAAAATTTTTTCCTGCTACCGTGCGAGTCTCTCTGCTGTAGAATTGTTGACACCGTTGTCGAACACTTGGTACAAGTATTGAATTGGAGGAGGCCTCTCGCCCCCAAGACAGTGGTTCTCACCCCTGGATATACATGATAGCCACGGCGTGACACGTTCACGACGTGGCCACATACAAGACAAATGATCACTGTGGCGGAAGTATCGCCTCACGGTAACCTATCTCTGTTGCTGCGGTTAGGCGGGCGGGACTACCACGTGCTTTCCTGTCCTCTCCGTTATTTTGAGCTGTCTTTGTTGTCCGAAGAGATGAGTGCCAATGGGAACACGTATGTCAAGTAGCTTGGGAGACTTACCATTTGTACCGGCGAGTTCTGTGTGGTTTGTTCCGGTCTGGAATGTACCACGTTTCTGGCTCAGTATGTCTCTCTGGTGTTCGCTCGAAACAGGATATGTGGTGATGGTGGCGGAGACGACAGCGTTCTCGGGCGTGTTTGCCGTGCAGCGGGAGAAGGTGACAATGCTGTCCAAGGGCGGCTTCCAGGCCGGCTTCCTCGAGAAGACCATGCAGGAGTGGTGGAGCAAGCAGGTCGTCGTCATCAAATAAAGGGATCGAGAGACTGCAGTTCGGTCCCAGAGGAGGACAACATTGACATTTTGTTTTATGTGCGTGTTGAGTGTGGGAAGGAGTAGAACCGTCGGGAAGTTGTGGAGCGCGCGCCGATCGCGGTGGCCGCTGTTTAGTTATCGGTCTTGAAACCTACATGTATATTAAAGAAGTTGAAAGGTGGCAGTGAGAGGACGCAAAACGTTGCCAACCAGCGGCGACGGATGGAGCTTCCTTCCAGAAGACGTAAGTTCCACCTGTCATTTTTTGTTTAGTCAAGCTGGCCTGATGTTGAGGAGTGAGGAGGAGCAAAATCGGGTCGTGCGGATCGAAAACGACCGTTTTTGTCGAAGTTCTTCGGCGTTTTTGTCGAAAGTCTTGGACAAGGGTTTGATACGAGGGTGAGGCCCAGTGTACGGATCGTTGCGGACAACGATTGCAAAAACATGGTTGGCGACTTGGTTTTGGTTGCTCTCTTTTCTTCTCCGCTTCAGCGATGAATACTCGAGTATTGTGTATGGTACGTGAATGTGCAAGTCATACAACCGGCAACACCCGTATGTAGTGGAAGAACTTTGATGTTGTGTATGGGAATGTGGAGTCCTCGCGCGTGGCGTGTAATTGTTTTCCAGGAAGTTCGCTGTTACTCTGGAAAGATGCCGCAGCATGTTTACGCGTGGGGCACACGTGAAGCCAGGCCACCACCTTACTCACGTCATGCAAACTAGCTTGTTTGGAGAGTAGAGACCACGATGCCAAACGAAAAAAAAGGACTCAACAAATTATTGTAACGGGTGGATGTCTGATCCCCCATTCGGAGCTCCAGACTACGCGAATTGCGTTGCCAACTCCCGGCGGCACGAGCACGAGCAGATATCCCACCGACCGTCTGACGTTAATATTCCCCTTCACACACTCCATAAGCGTCAGGTCCGTTGCTGCTCGGTAAGGTGCTCGTGGTTGTTCGCTCAGAGCACGAAATTCTGCAACCCATAGAACAACCAAATCCCCGCGGCGCGAGCAGTCATCATCCCGTTGGCCATATCACGTGGCTGTTCACGCCCTCAGCGAGTCTCAGCTATGGTGGTAATTTGTGGGTCGTAGTTGGCGTAGTGCAACGCGCAGATCTGCGTGTTTCCAAAGGTCGGTTGGTTAAGTTACACACGTTCAGGTACCCGGCACGAAATTCCGCGAGCCCCGAACAGTTGTGTGTACTTGAGATCTACAGTATGTTGGTCGAATGAAGTTGTTTGGCCACGAGACACCCGATCAGGCCCAGGGGAGCTGTGCCAATACTTCCTGGAACTTCAAGGAACGTGAAACTTTGAATGAACTCGCGTTCACGTGCGTCCGCAGCTTTACAGTATTCTGACTCAACACCGAGGATCATCTAATGAAATATGGATCGGATGAGGCCTCCTGCGCCGGGCAGGAATGCACCCCGCGCTGGAAGAGAACCCTCAAGATGTCTCCCCCCAGCGCGCATTTCGTACCGCTCAATGATCTCGGTATGAACCCAAAAGTACTACTTCGATGTGCCCTTCAAGCCCTAGCCGGGTGGGTGGGATGGTCTCAGTAGTTTCGTGATCAAAGCTGCTCGCTAGTTTTCGGAGCGAAACACCGGAGTGATCTCTTTGCGCTCACAAATCCCCGTACATTCGATGAGATCCATAGATCCATCATTTGTAATCCTGGAACCATCCCGTCTGATGCTACTTGTCTGAACTCCGGGGACAAGGGCATATCATTAACGTCGGCGTAACTTTGCCCGCGGCCTCGCTTGCTACCCCACAGGCGACCACTATTGGTAACTCCAATGTAGTGTCACGCAACCGACTCTTTTTCCAACCCCCAATCTGCATGATTTCGTCCACTGCCGACTCAATGACAAGAGCAATCGCTATACAGAGAGACACAGTGCCTCGAAACATAAATTCTAGGCCACGCCACAAGTTTTGTATTGTAAACACGAACACGTCTGTAATCAGCGTTGAAGAACGCATATATTTAACCCCCCCGTCTCTGCCTCCCATCTCGTCAATCTGAGCGCAATATGTACATCACTCCACCCAAAGCATGCTACTCGTCGGGGGTAGGGTCGCCGCCTTCCCCGTCCTCGCCCTCCCCTGCCTCCTCCCTCTCCAAGGCTTCCTGTGCTGCCCTAATCGCAGCCTCTTCTTCCTCCACCTTCCGTCGGGCCTCCTCCGCCTCCGCCAACGCTTCGGCCTATTTTTGTAACCGTTATCGTCGAAGTGAGGCGAGTGAGTTGTGCATGGGTTAGAAACTGGACACCCGCGACACGGGGAGGGGCGGGGGTGTACATTATTCGTGAGAAATCACGAATTGGGAATGCCTTCCAGCTTACCACTATCCTGGCTCTCTCCGCCTCCTTTGCTTCCACCGCCTCTCTGTGGATCCTGCTAGCATGCTCAGTAGCCCCAGATAAGAGCCCTGAGCATTGACGGACGCGGGTAGGTTGATGAACAGGGGCGTCAACCAGGAGAAAAGCCGGATTTTGTCACAGAGTGTAGACGGCAGTATGGGTACGTGTGACGACAACAAACTACGTGCCTGTGGCGGAAGCATACATGAGTACGATCAAAAGTGTCCAATAATATTGCCCCGAATTATACGTCTACAGTATTAGCACGATCAACGTCTTCGGCTTGTCTAGGCTGCTTCGATAAGTATACTCTCACCGTCAACGACTGCCATACTCTCCACCGCCTTGTCGACCTTCCGCACCATATCACCCATCAGCCACGGCAAAAACACCTCCTTGACCTCCTTCGAGAGCGGATCGTAGAAGTGACCCTCGTCCTCGAGGTCGTCGAACACCTAGGATTCAGTAAGGGAAGCCATCGTCACAATTAGTGCTCTCGAGCGTGCAGGCGGGAAAAAAATGACATTGATTGATTGGTGTCCTCGTATTTCATGAGCGGTGACGGTCTTGCTATAGACGTCATCTTCTGGCGTGGATGCCTGTGGTTTTGAAGCTAGATAAAGCGTAGTTTGTCTTTGCCCGGTTACGAACGATGTTCGTCGTAAACACCCGTTTTAGAGGCATCCCCACGATCGTTTGAACGAGCATTGGGATAGTGCACACGTCAATCTGTTCATCCGACAACTGAGATTGAATTTCTCGTGGAACACGTACAGTGGGTTATCATGGCTTCTTTCGCAACACGTACTGCACATGCGTTCTCACCAAGAAACATGTTTCTTGCTGTCGCCTTTACAAACGAAAGAAAACGCCTTGGAAATTAGTCCTGCTACGAAGAAAAGGGTTGGAGTCTGGTTGATCAATGGGTGGCACTTACATCGGTCTTCAAATTGGAGAGGTAGTTCTTGGCGAAGCTGCGGGCGGCCACCTTCTCGAGTAAGGCCTCTCGTGCCTTCTTAACCTCCTGCTGCTGCTTCATGCGTCGCATCCTGTGCAAACACGGTAGGTAGTGTTTTATTTTTTCCAATGACTCACCCCTAGATGTTAAGAAAGCGATCACAATATTGCTGACTACCCATGACCCTACCGCCTCATTCTCTGTCAAAGCACGTAGACTAACGCGTTGTCAGGCGGAACTTTGATATATATATTTTTTACCTGCCTTTGTTTTATTACCAAGGTTTCCGGGAGCAAGGGATAATCCGAGCGTTTCAAGCGCGCACAGGCTGCAGAAGGACAATTTTGAGACTATTCAATGATGTATCCACTGCAACAAGCCACCCACGAATATCCTGCTTTTGTAGCGCCTCTGTAGGTGTAGACCTCACTATTGGGGTCTTCATGGGTGATCTCTCGGCATAAGTCTCCACCAGGTACATACACCTCCAGGAATAAAGACAACAGCACGCTACAGGTACTCTCGCGGTGGGTCACTCACTTTTCTGCAGACTTTCTCTTCGCCTCGGCCTCCATGCGCTGCACCTCCGCCATCTCCGCGTCCCTCTCGCGGGCAAATGTTGCCTGCCGTCTTCGGATGACGGCCAGCTCTTCCTCCTGCGGTATCAATCAAGTGAAAGAAACGGGAAAACATATGACAACGGACACTTGAACCAGACGCAACACACACTGACCTACCTTTCGTTCGTACGAGCTGTAGATATCGGCGAAGAGAAGTCGTCTGAGAGAGTAAATTGCTTGTGCAGTTCTACACCATGTCATTTTTGTGACTGCCACATAGACAACGTTAATTATCAATACTTGCACGCGAGACACGCCTCAGCACTGAAAATGTCTTGTCGTTCAGACATCACCCTCGCTTGTTCGGCGTCGTATGGTGAGCTCACCCAACAACCACCGCTGGCGCCGAAGAAGTTTAGCAAGAGAGCTCTACGATTCACCACCGGTAAGAAAAAAAACGAACCCACTTGCCTCCATGAGCTCGAGGACGCTTAGCTCGAGGGTTTTCCCTACTAATACCTCAAGAATTGGCTCCACCTGAAACGAAAAAGACATCGAGAGGAAGTTTTGAAAGAAGAACGTATGGCAGAATCAAGCGAGAGACGGGCAGCAAGATGGGTCGGAACGAAACAACGTAGACAGGAAAAAATGTGGACATGAACTTGACACAAACAAACGATTCCTCGACTCTCTCGCTTGAATGGCAACATAGAAACCAAGCCACTGACAACAAAGTTACGATACTGTGTTGGCAAGGAGGGTTTGCTCGCTCCCGAAGGGGTTCACGAACGCAGTGTTCGCACGCTTGGGACCATTGGGACAGTTGATACACGCCGATGAGGGCATAAACCATGCCCGTACGGGGAAAGCACGGTTCTCAGACACGAGGGAATATGCGTTGGCATTCAATACCTCTAGATCGAAGTCGAACAGCTCGCCGACAACGACTTGAGTGTCGGCATCCACCCCGCTCTTCGCCGGCACGAACAGGGGAGACGAAGGGCGATCCATAAAAGCCTCCGTTTGAGTTTCAATTGATGTCTCCACCGGCCTGTCGGCATGATCGATTGAGTTGTTGTTTGGTTTTGCTACTGGTTGTTTTGGTTGCCCCCAAAAAGGGGCGGGCGCCAATAAATCAGATTCAAGAGTAAGAATTGCAATGAATCTATTATAGGTTGGTCGTAAGTTGCGAAAAGGCCCCCCTTTTCGTACTGCTAAGCCTCCTGTCACCTGTCCGTTAGCTCTTCGAGAAACTCTTCTGTCTGGGCGTCCATATGCATGCGCCCTTGCACCGGCGGGGGGGTCCGCGGCATGTTCGAGAACTCCGCAGCCTGAAGTTTTGGAGAGAAACCCGCCACAGCTGTTAGAGGGAGGTTATCTACAACCGGTATCGTGCATACCCCGGCAATGGTGCTGCAGTTGTTTCAATATGCCGCAGAGCAGACTGGTTCTGGGGTTGTTCGTGTCACAAGCATGACGACGGCGATATCGGACCGACCCGCAATTAAAATAAGGCTCAAATTCTTCCGAAAGAAAAAAATTGGGGTTAAGAAACACGTCACAGGGGTGGATCCTAGACAGTGTACGATAGTCCATGCTCGACACCTCGAACCGAAATTGAAGTGGGCCTTCTGCACAAGTAGATTATTGCACTCTTCAGAAAAAGGAGAGGGGACTCTGTTGAACGTAGCTGGTAAACGGTATACCGTTCTTATCACAAGAAGTAGTGAAGAAGCACCTCTTCAAGGGTATGCATGGGTAAGAAGGGTGTCTTGTTGTAAACTGCTAGGAGCTCTAAACGTTTTTTTTGTGGCAGGGGGAAACCATCGGTACACTGGCTTCACCTGACGGCGCCGTAGCGCTTCCAAACGCATCCTCCTCTCGTGCTCTTGCCTAAGTCGGAGCGACTCTCGCTGAGCGCTCTGGGTTACCACCTGTGCCGCGTACGTGTTGCCCCTCACGACTCTGCGGTCGTACATGATGTTGTTCGACGCGAGCAGCTGCACATAGTTCAAGAGGAGGGGGACGGGGGGAGGGGGGTGGTACCGGAGGGGAAGGAGCGACCCGATCTGTAAGTTGCGACGCTGATCTCGGCGCTTCATCGCGTCTGCCACCTTCCGTCAATGACCGTCTCGAGTATGAACTCATCCAACGTTGGACGGTAAAATGCTGCACATGTCTATTGGTCGAGACCCCTGTGAGCTTGTCGAACGAATAGATTAATCATGAGAATAATTGCCGTCTCTATTACTGTATATTAAGTGAATCGAGGTCAAGGTCCAGTGAACGACCTCTGCACTTTGAATCAGAGTGTAGATGTTCAGTCAGTGATGTCTGACTATGTAATTATTACATACGTAACATTTTCCACTCGAGAAAGTCGTCGATATACAGTAGGCACGTCGTTATCCAATTCTAACCATGTCCGTTGAAGGTGAACACTTGCTAGTCAACAACTGTTACAGCAGTGTACACAATACGCATTCGGTCCTCACTGTACACAAAAATCAACATATTTTGACGACGATAATCTACGGTAGTTTACTTGCGAGTTCAATCGTCTGTACTACTGTATGGGCATAGTCTGCACTACTTTTGTCAAGGAAGTCATGTACAGGCGTGAGCATATCACAACCGCCATTTCCTTTTCACTTCTATCTTAGACCTCCCTCAGGTACACTCACATCATTCTCGTCTATCCACTGGGCCGCATCAGGGGCTGTAGCAGCATCTTCTCGGTATTTGGACCGAACGGTGCTACGCTTTGATGGTACAGCCTGAGGCTCCGAGGAGTAAGTGAAGGCAGTCTGGGACCCCCCTGCTGCCGCCGGAGGCGCGGCCACCATTGCCATACGGTGCTGCAGCTGCGAACGTGAACACCCACGCCAACCTCTCCGTTGCGATTGGTTTTGTCTTGTCGAAAATTCCAGCAGTCACACGGGTTCTCTCACGGGAATGAAATGTGTATCTGTCTCTATGTGCGAGGGGCTAGGCAGGTCTGCTTTTTGGCCCTCTCAGCGCGCGCGCGACGTCGAGATCTTGTGTCGGTTCGTCTTCGAAATTGTTGTGGCGGTTTCATTCTACTGTACGCGGCAGTTGCGCCGCATGCGGCCCAACTTCAGCTGCTATAGCCATTGAAGCGCGTTAGCGCGTGTTTGGCGATAGGCAGTCTACTGTACATACATGGTGGCAACCCCGCCATCAACGGAATCATAACAGCAACTACGATGAAGGGCCCATTTTTCTTTCGTGAGAGCAAGCACCGGTCAGTTCTAGTTATCGGGCTCGACAATGCAGGTACTTGGACGTAGGAAAGCCGTCTATGTCTAACCCCAAAACATATACCGGTTTATCTGTTGTAGATCTTATCAAGTGAGGTGCCACCGGCAAGTGTTTGTGGGGAGGGTGTTGAGGTTGTATATCCACTACATTGCTAATATCCACTTGTCGTATTACAACCGTAGGCAGATGTGCAGGTGGCCCCCGAGGTCGTACTCCGCAGCGACCTTGAGACTATTGCCATATCATGTTCTTTCTGGCACAGCAGTAGCCGCATCAGCAACAGCAGCAGCAGCAACAGCTAGACCTACTCCGTAGCAGCGCAATCGCAAGTTGATTGCTGAACCATTTGAAGAAGCATAGCTCCACGTTGTTGCACGACGCGTGCAGACTCCTCTCTCCTCTCACATGTGCGTACGTGTGCCTGGTGCTGCTCTTCTTCTCGCGTTGACCCCCAGGAAAAACCTCTGTTCTCTGCCACCTAGCGAATGTAGCCGCGACCAACAGGAGCATCGTGAAGAGCGTGGGAACCGCGCCTACAGTTGGTACCCAAATGGTCGAATTCCACAGACGGAACGTCGGCTGGGTAGCTTGGGATATGTCGGGTCAAGGTAAAGTCGCATGATGACACATGATAACATACAGAAGCGATACTGTAGTAGCCTTGCGCGTGCTTGACACCCAAGAACACCTGCAGTGGTCCAGACAAAATCTTTCATTGAACAGCTTTAGGCTGCATTTTTGTTTGATATTTCCGTAGAGAAAATGGTGTGCCGTGGCATAGCACCGTGATCGAATGTTAATACGTACGTACGGTCTGTACTACTAACGAAGCCGCACGTTGTGCTTGACCGTGACAGGGCGATATCGCGACCTTTGGGTTTCTCACGCATCGCATGTTCACGGCGTGATCTTCGTCGTCGATGTCACGGACCGCGCGAGAATTGCAGTGGCTAGGGAGGAGCTTCACGGAATACTGACGTCAAGAGGTGCCGCTCATTGCTCGCCTTTATTTGGAAGAAATGTACAATATAGAGCGGACGGTTGCGGGATGCGGAATACTTCAATACTGGGAATAGGGTGCTGTCCATGCCGTTGTGTTGTTACTACTATTGACTACAGTACCGAATACTTTTGGATCAGGAGGTACGTAACACTAGATAGTGAGACACACACTAACTAGTGGCCACACCCACAAAGCATCGCCTGCTGTTGCGTCGAAAGGAGTACCAGAAACATGCGACTGGCGGCTTTCGAGCGACAACGACCGTCACCAATACGACGAACTCAATGCTGTGCTCATCATGTCCGCGCTCCCTGATATCCCATACTTTTTTTTCTCAATTATTGGACGCAATTCTTGTAACATTGATCAAGCTTTTCGACAGGGAAACACACCGGTCGCGATCTTGGCGAACAAATACGACGTCATTACGGGGGCACCGGCCGGCGGTGTCAATAATAGTGGTCGTGATGGCTGCCTTTCTCTAGAGAACGTGTGCATTGCACTTGCGGTTGACACGCTTCAGGTGATAGCCTGTTCCTTACCCCATCTGGGACCCACAAACAGATTATTATTATGGGTCTACGAATGTTCGACGTGAGACTCTTAACTATTTTGATTTTCCAGCCGTTTGTCTCCACACGTGAAAGAAACTGAGGTCTACCCGCTACTGCAAGCCCTGGTGCGAAGTAGTTGGATTTAAAAATATTATTTACGTATATTGTATACCTACCCGACGAGCGCCTTTCAGTGGTAATGGTGCAAATAAATGGGGCCAGAAAGAACGAGTGGTTGTTTAGGTGATCGCCTGATTGTCTTCTCACGAGCCTTGGAGAGCTTAAGATAGTGTGGGCCTTTCTATCGTTCGAGTCCATCCGCTACCCTCAATTAGCATCTACATACGGCAGTTCCTGTTTGGTTTCGCTGACGTCCACGTCATTCTTGATCTGTTCTTGTTCTTGCCGCAGGTGCACCGCCCCACCCGCGCCTTCGCCACGAGCGCTTTGACAGGGGAAGGGATCGAGGAGGCCATGGATTGGTTGACCGTGCATGCCACAAACAGATAAATTAGCAGGCGGCGAGATAATCTTTCCATGACGTCGGCGAGGGAGGGCGGTGAGGGCAGAAGAGGAAAGGAGGAGTGTACGGCCACCTCAGTCAGGGGGAGCAAGGACTTTCGGGGGCTGGTTGGTTGCTGCAACTGCTGTTCTGGGGGAGTCTTGAGGTGTTGTCCCCCGGACGTGGGGAAGGGAGAGGGTGGTTGTACTTCTTTGTCTACAGTACGACGATTAGTCCTCCCCCTGAACACCGGTCGTATAGTCTAGTTGCTGTTTTCCGTGGTACAGAAGAAACCACGAAACAACCCATTGATGGAGATTCCTATAGCAGTGCGTACTTGGCGTGGGGAAGCAAATCTAGGCTGCATGCTCACATTTGGTAGGCTCGGAGGACTCGGCACGAGAAAAAAAATGATGTCGCACGCGCTTGTTTTGCCTCAAGGCTTTCGGCTTTGGTCCCCACAGGGTGAAAAAAATACTCCTTCGTCACTGAAAACAGTCTGCGGAACTTCAATCAACAAGCGAAAAAACTCGGCCTCCTCTACAAGCGTTGTTCATCTGCAACTTTGAGATCGTGTTTGATTCGGATAGGTAAATAGGTAGAGGTGTATATGCCCTTGCGCCCGTGCTACTGTGAGTGGTGTGAACACGACATGTCACTGAGCGCATTGCTTACAGGGAGCACACCGTAGAGCGCATCATGTCCCGGTTATTCTCCAAGCACATGGGAATGAATGACCTCCTGAAACATGGGAATGACTTCCTGAATCAGGTGTAGGCGGAAACACCAACGCCATGTGGTAATATTTTCTCTTCATTTCGACTAGGATACGGCGGAGTTACCACCAAGTAGCGTAGGAAGAAAACAATAAATGATACCACACAAGACGGGGAGAAGGGCTCAAAACACACGATGCGAAAAAAACACCGCGAAAAAAAAAGCCATCTCCAACAAGGGAAAGGAAACTCACTCGTTACCGACCGGTAAAACGTAAAAGCGCGTTTCGCCCCAATATCTGCAAAAAACAACTGTCTCGCCCTCGGCCACCTGCCCCGCCCCGATGCGATTCAGGATTGATTGCCATTGGTCGGACCTCGCAAAGGTAAGCAACAAAGAGTAACCTCTCGACCACCGATACGTCCCCGCCCCCTTAAGATTACGACTTTGCCGTTTTCCTTGCACCCGCCCATCGGTTGGCACAATACCACAGTCAGTACAAAGAGTCTCCTCTTAACGTAAAAAAAAGGATCGGTGTCTCGGTATAGACTACAGCACATCGAGTATGTACAATACAGCGGCATGCACTGCAGGAAAAAAAACGGTGGTATGATACTGATTTCATTAAGACTGACCCAAAACACCTATTGCGCTTCCACGTCGGGGGCCCGTCAGACAGCAGAATATACATACCATACCATACCATACCATACCATACCCAGACCAAGGCCTTCGTGGCAGTCGGCACCTGCCATGAACGCCATCCTCCTTTCAACATTGATACACGCAGCAGCAGCAACAAACGCCTCCTTGGGCAACCACACTCCCCGCTGACAATACGGTTGCTGCGGCAATCCTCCTCTTCTTTCTTTCTCTCTCTCTGGCTTGCCTCTCTCTCTCTATCTCTCTCTCTCTCTGCCTCTCTCTTTCTCTCTCCTCTCCTCTCTTCTCTCTCTCCTCTCTCTGTCTCTCTTCTCTTCGCTTCTCTCTCTCTCTCTCCTCTCTTATCTCTCTCCTTCTCTCTTTCTCTCCTTCTCTCTTTCTCTTTCTCTCTCCTTCTCTCTTTCTCTCCTTCTCTCTCCAATTTCCTCAAATTTGCAAGGAATCGTCCTCTTTTCTCGAACAGTTTCTCTCTCTTTCTTCTTTTCCTTATATCTGCCAGGCCATCAGATGTCGAACAAAATAAGCATAGCGCGGACATCATTTCAACGCGCTCTTTGTGTGATTTGCGCTGCTGCTGTGCGTACACGCGCCGCCGCTGAGGCCAGGGGTGGCACCAGGGAACACGTATCCTGCCTGGAAGCTAAACTACAGTAGTGCCTCTGCTTGTTTCGGCCACTCGCGAAATACAACCCGATTTCAATCCCGCATACTCTATCCAACAACACGGGCCAAGGGTGGAGCGGCAAGGCCGCAATGGAAAAAAAAAGAAGAAGCGCATGGTACAAGCCACACCGATCCATCGCAAAAGGAACGGCAGGCCCGGATGCACATAGCATGACACACACCGATCCATCGCATCGCAAAAGGAAAGGCAGGCCCGAATGCATAGCACGACACACAGCAAAAAATGCGGCAACACACAAGCGCTTTTCCTCATACCTTGCGGCCAGAATACGCCAGAAAAAAAGCGCCACACGGACACACAAGACAAGCTGGAGGCCTCACATGTAAATAAAACGCAGGGCCTCGTAAAAACGCATCACAAGAAACACGCAAAGAACACATACATCACGCACGAGCAGGGGTGGAGTTATACCAAGAGAGGCGAGAGATGACGACTAGACTACTCCAAGAGCAGCGAGGAGCAGTAGCAGCGGTCGGAATGTCTGCATGCATGCTTAGTTCCGCCCCCTTGATTCGCCGTCAACATGTTCTCAAAATTCCTTGGTAGATTCGGACACTTGTGCCGACACGAAATACCTCGCGACCCGTTTCGCTGCCCCCCTCAGCCTGCGCCATACCATACCATACCAACCCTGTTTACCACAAAAATACAGCCGTGGCATATGCGCCAACTCGCGCTCGATGCCCAAAAAAGCTCCGATCGGTTGCCCAATGAAAACGCAAGGGGTCAACATACAAATAATGCAAATAAAGCGGTGTGACGTCACCACCGTACTCTAGGAAGGACATAAGGACATCAAATCTTGGTCGCACTCGCACGCGATCGTCCCGTCTTAGGTGGGAGCGTTTTTCTTACTCGAAATCCCTCCCACAGCAGTAGTAGTCTCCAAACCACCATGTTCCCTCTAACGACGAGGGTCCTTCGGGCTTCGTCCCTTTCCCCGAGAAAGGGTTTCTTGGCTTCTTTCCTTCGACGGGGGGGGGGGGGGGTCCCTCCCTTTCCTTCGGATATCGGAACAGGCTGCGCGCAGAGCACGCGCCAGCGCGCAGAATTTTCATTCGGTCTGCGGGTCACCTCAACTGACCGTTTTATCCACTGACGGTTGTCCCTGTCAGCGCGATGATCGCAGATCTCGCTTCTGCCGCCTTTCATGCATGGAGAAACTGCTCCTTCCGTCTCTTGGGGTAGGGAAGGAGGAGGGGGGCGACGCAGAGTGTGCGCCGTGTCATGTTGCCATGTCATGCGGTCACTTCCTCGTCGTCGGCCCAAGCCCCCTTGCGGATGACGGTCCCATCTGCGGTAAAGGTGGTACCCTACCCTCAGCGTCACCATCACGAACGCACATCAGGGCAGCAGCATAGAGGTGGGATCAGGGGGGCGCCGTGAGAGAGGGGCGGGGCTTCGCCAAGAGAAGAAAAGTACACGTGTGGCAACAAATCAAAGAAGTCGATCGGGATGTGTAGAAAACGTCCGGTTTGGGCCGATAACATCAGAGCACCCTGTTGGGGGGAGGGTCCACTCCATCAAATACGAACGCCATTGCACAAGGTGCTGTGGCGACGAAATTTCCAACGAAACAGAAAGCAAGGTCTCATCGCACTCCTACACAACGGTGGTAGAGCCGCAACCGATGTGGCTCACCTCGCCGTGCATCGCGCCTTCCTGGAACTCTCCCTCGTAACGGCTGCCGTCCAAGTACGTCGTAACGCCCTATTACAAATAGGTAGCACAGTAGCCAAACCAACAGCAGCAGCACCAAAGACAGGAAGAGGCACGGGTCAAGTGAGAGAGGTCATCGCGCCTGACGGCAGCAAGAGAAAAACCGTCAGTCGTCCAACTAGGCGTGAGATGCCACACAAGTAGGCCATCATGTCCCAATGTGGTGGTAGAAGAGACGGGGGGGGGGGGGGGGGGGGGG